GATCCCGGGACTCCAGGATCATGACCTGAGCCGAAGGCAGTCGCTTAACCAACTGAGCTACCCAGGCGCCCAAAACTGGGACATTCTTTCCTTGCCGGGATAGTGTGAGGGCTTAATAAAGTGACATGTCGGAAGGCCACAAGAGTGGTTAGTTCTCATCTGCTCACACGGAAGTCAGGAATAAATGTAGTGAATGCTATTTGAGCAAGCTGCCATAACGTAGGTCATGCCACTCTGATGACAGGTGGCATCTGCCACATCCTCCTTAGGGATCCCAAATTCGAAAACTCTTACTTTGGAGTCAATATTAAAATGAGGCTATGTTGGAAAATAAAAGTAAGCAAGCGGCAGAGAGCAGTAGCTAAAGGCTGCAGTGCCCAAGAAGGCCAAACGAAAAGGCTGGGGGTTTCTGAAAATGTTGACAAGCTATGGCCTTTATTTCTGGGTACTTGGAATCCCAGCTCAGGTGGAAAGAACTCGGGTCTTAACAGACTTCCTGACGACTGTGTTAGCACGTCCCTGCCCTTCAGTTCCCCTGTGAATCTTACTCTGGCAAGAGGCCTGGCTCTCTGCTGATTTTTAACTAATTTGGTCAGTAAGTTAAGGCTACTGTTTCTCATTCCCTCCTTCCCCTACAAGGTTGAGAGAAGATGGAAAAAGCTTTAGATTTAAGACAGAGACTGAACTGGAACGCCAAGTGTAAGTCCTAAGGCATCTGGGCTTTCTCTTAGGACAGCGTACAGGGGACTGTTGCACGACGGGGCTTAGTCACTCCATACGCACGTACACACGCAGGCAGACTGATACACGTAACTGCACCTGGGAAGGAAGTGGTAACACATGCGACAAATAGGATTACGGCAGAAGCTGAACTTTCTCCTTCACTGGTCCAAACATGACTCCCAACGGCGCGGGAACAGCACAGATTCTGGAATCAAAGATTGGGGCGTAGGGCCTGGCTTTCCCACTTAGAAGCCATGTGACTGGGGTGCTTTAGGCTGAGCCCTGCTTTCCTGGTAAGAGGGAGAGATGATGACACCGTCTGTGGACTAGAGGACAATTCTGAGGCTTAGAAATGATACCACAAAGTGCTCGCCTGATGCCCAGCACACACCACCTCCTGTAAGACCCTCCTGGAGATAGGTTGTGAGACCCAGGGGCTTTAACCATCTGAGGGTTATGGACTCCGCGACCAAAACGACTTGCCATTACTCTGCACAAATGCCAGTTGATGCCATTACAAAATTACTCCCAACTGTGCAAGCTCGTTGGCATTTTGGAGCAGAGACTTACTGGAGCAGTGCAGTTTCACGGGGGGAAGACAGAGCTCCTTGGCGATGTCCGTGTTCTTGATGGTCAAGGCTTCCTCCACCTGAGAGGCATATGTGAGAAAATAGTAGTTTTAGTGATGCTCTAGCATGAGGAACAGGCAATAAACAAGGAAGGCCATAGAGGTCCTGAGGACAGGGTGGTGGGGGATGACTTTCCATTTAACAACCCCAAAGGACGCTCACTCGTGTGTCAAGGCTGCAGCTGAGACTGTCCAGTATGGAGTATACACACTCCACCACTTGGCTGGGTAAGCAAGGCCGGCAGAGACACTTCTACAAGCCAGCCAGTGAGACGTCTCTTAGGGGTCTGCTTGAGGCCAGCGACAGGAGTCTCTCTTTAAATTTAAAAGCAGTGGTTTCCTATTCTGGTTTTGTGAGCATCAGCTTCACCGATGTCCTTGTACCAAATGTTTAGAATAAATCCCTTCAACTAGAAGTGCTGACTGGTGTCAGGGCGGTCAGAGAGATGGCAAGGAGGCCAGTGGCACTCCAGCACTTGGCAGTGGCACAGACCGGTCTTGGGATCATCCTCTGCCCAAAAGAGAATCTGTCTGGTTGAAACAGACCAAAAAGGATGCCTGAGTTTGCTCGAGTGCCCAAGGGCATGGGAAGCAGACGCACGTGGAACGGAGCCCTGCTGCTGCCTTAAGGAAAGCCGGGGTTCCCCATCTGTCCCCCAGTTTCTCAATTCTGACTTCAAGGGTAAGGCTTCACGTTCTGTTCCTAGTAACTCAGATGGGAGGACCTCAAGGTCAAAGAAAGGCCCTCTTCCTCCACTTTCTGATCACAACTCAAAGGCCAGATTCTGGGAGCACAGGTACCTTGTCTCACTTCCCCTTTTCCCTGAGGATAGGTCTTAATAGATCACTTCAGAGGCACCTCCTCCAGATCAGGTTAGGTCTGTGCTCGCCGGAGAAGCTCACCAGCCAGAAGGCCCAGAGCCACAGGAAGCAGGGGGCACAAGGCATTGCTGTAGAGCTGCCCAGCTCCCCAAGCACACACCTCTGTGACTCAGCTCCCTGAACTTGGTCCCTTGGGGCTGCAAAGATAAGCAGCCCTGTATTTTCGCTTTTCCAAGAGGTTTTAATGACTGGATTTTAGAAACTCCAGCTCTTCACTGGGTTTGGGACCTTCTACCTCTGCAGCTGCTGGGAAAGAGGCTTTGGCAGAGAACAGAACAGAAAAGATGCTCCAGCTCCTCGCATTTCCACCCTCAGAGGGTCTGCCAACAAGCCACCTAGATCACTGTTCTGATTTATTTGTTCATTTTGCCTCTATCTTTGCGGTTTTTGATTCTTTAATTCCTCTTTTAGCACAGGCTAGTTTGTTATTTCATGAATCCTTACAAGCCACCTGCAATCCTTCCTGAAACATGATGGAAGGAAAAATAAGAACACAAACCACAGTACAACCTCTCCCACCCTTAGACTCCTAAGAAATTTTAATCAGCAAACTTGGAGAAAGCCACAGATTTCTTTGTACAGAGGGAGAGGTGAAGATTTTTTTTCTATTTAATTAAAATCAAAACTAAACAGAGGTGCCTGGGTGGTTCAGTTGGTTAAGCATCCAACTCTTGATTTTGGCTCAGTCACCATCTCAAGATTATGAGATTGAGTCCTGCCTCGGGCTCTGTACTGGGCGTGGAGCCTGCTTCTGACTCTCTCCCTCTGCCCCTCCTCCTCCTCTAAAAACAAAAACAAACAAAAAAACCCTAACAAAACACCACCCAAACCCCCAAATAAAAATGATCGACAAAAACCCCCCAAATAAGAAACACTTAACAAAATTATCCATAATCCCCTATGTGGAGAATTTAATCAAAACCTGAGGAGAAATTTAAAAAATTCTTAGAATATTTTGAAAAAAATCAGCCCCCCATAACTAGACCCTTCTCTTAACTCAGAGGCAGGTTTGTCAGGAATGTGATTTAATTCTGTCAATCTGCAAGCAACCTTACCGTCTTCCCTTTTACCCATTCAGTGGCTAACGAGCTGGAGGCAATAGCAGACCCACAGCCAAACGTCTTAAACCTGGCATCCACAATCTTCCCCTTTTCATCCACTTGAATCTAGAAGAGAGAGAGGAGTTAAGCAGTGGTTCCTGGCACTGCCCCGTAGAACCTGCATTTATGGGGTTCACTGGGGCTCTCCCCAAGGGCTTTGGTCTTGCTTTCCACACCCTAAGTTTTAACATTACTGAATTTGCTTTGTCACAAAGGGCTCGGTGATGAAGTGTTAAATGTAGGAATGATCATCAGAATGATACAGGCCTACCCGGTAAAGATAAGCTGAAAAATATGCGCCCCCCCCCCCTTTTATTTTGCAACCCTAGTCTGCTTTTTGGCTATGAAGTTCTGCTCCTAGCTGCTCTGTCAATCTGCATCTTTAAATGCTGGGAGAGTCTGCAATAAAGGTCTCTGGTTAGTGCTTTTTAGTTTGGCATGAAATGACATCTAGTGGTTTCCTCCTGCCTTGTTTCTGTTTTCCAAGATAGGCATGAAGACCTCTGGCAAGCTGCCTCCTCACCACGATGAAGTAGATGTGGACAAAGCTACGGTTTACTCAAAGCGCCAGTCACTACCTTTGTGTTGTTTCCAATTTGGGGGAGGCTTGACATGTGGCATTTCCTGTCTCACTGGGGATTCCTAACTGAATGGTTGTGGTTTTCCTTTGATCAGTAAAATTCACAAAACTTTCTACTTAGCTGAAGTTGGAATTTAAGCTGATAGCTGAGTAGAAAAGCGACACCAGAAGGGGCCAGCACAGTGTACAAGAGAACTACTGCCCTAATAATTGTTAACTTCAAACCATGTCATCATCTCACAAGAATCCATACAGAGCCCAAGTGGAAAGCTGTGCGTGCAAATGCTTTGTAAACAACGAAGCACCGTATGAGCAATGGGGTCACTGTCATTATCATCAAAGATAAAAACCAGTGGTACCTGCAATTTCATTACATCACCACATGCTGGAGCCCCCACCAATCCAGTTCCAACATTTTTTGATGTCTTGTCAAGGGACCCCACGTTTCTAGGATTTTCATAATGATCAACAACCTGAAATGAGAAGGTTAAGAGAAATCTATGATCACCCTTTTTTGTTACTGGTCTCCCCAACCTGACGGTAAGCTCCTTGAAGTCAGCAAGCTGAACCTGGCAGGCAGCCACTAAGCATCAAACTTCACCTGGGGAGGAAGGCTTACACTTATGTCAATGGGACTTTATGATCCAATCTTTTTGTACCTCTTCTCCAACTACCTTCAGAGATTTGAGTTACTGGAGAAAAATCAGCAAAGTCATGTCTTAAATCCATAGTTTTTTTGTTTTTGTTTTAAAGAATTTATTTGAGAGAGAGTGAGCAAGAGAAAAAGCACAAATGGGGGGGCGGGGCAGAGAGAGAGAGAGAGAGAAGCAGACTCCCCGGTGAGCTGGGAGCCCGACCTGGGGCTCTATCCTAGAACCCTGGGATCAGGACCCCGGCTGAAGGCAGACGCTTAACTGACTGGGCCACCCAAGCGCCCCTCCATAGGGTTTTTGATCACAAATAATTACCTGATCTTTACCACCTAAGTCACCAGATTTAGGCTCAAATAACATTTCTGGTATTTCCAAATAAATCCATCCTCAAAGGATGATTAGTATTAAGAATTTTAAAAATAAGTATGGTCCAGTAATCGAAGGATTTCCCGGAAGCCTCAAGGAGAATGTTACACGAGGAACAATGCTATGGAATGTGTCCATTTGTATATGATAAAACAGTAACTGTCCCATTACTCCATTTCAAGGGCCAAAAATCTCTCTGGTGGAGCAGCGCACCCTGGTGGCTGAAAAGCTGCCAGCCCACGTTCGTCGAGCGTGTATTGTCAACAAAACACACCCCTACGCGGGGGAGGAGGGAAGTCCCAGGCAGACGCAGAAGCCAGAACAGAATAGTTACCTATTCAAACTGGCACACAGAGGGCTTTAATGTAACCTTGAGACTTGTTTACTAGTTAGTCTAAGTCTCCGATCTTCCAGTCTCTTTTACCCACTTACCCGACCACGGATTTTGACTCCAAGCGAAGGACCTACAAGATAGTACTTCGTCTGGACTTTTTGCCCCATGTTGATTCTTTGGATTCTTTTTTTTTTTTAAAGATTTTATTTATTTATTTCAGAGAGAGAGAATGAGAGAGAGCACATGAGAGGGGGGAGGGGCAGAGGGAGAAGCAGACTCCCTGCCGAGCAGGGAGCCTGATGCGGGACTCGATCCCGGGACTCCAGGATCATGACCTGAGCTGAAGGCAGTCGCTTAACCAACTGAGCCACCCAGGCGCCCCTCTTTTTTTTTTTTTAAAGATTTTATTTATTTATTTGAGAGAGAGAATGAGCTAGAGAGAGAGAGCATGAGAGGGGGGAGGGTCAGAGGGCGAAGCAGGCTCCCCGCTGAGCAGGGAGCCCGATGCGGGACTCGATCCCGGGACTCCAGGATCATGACCTGAGCTGAAGGCAGTCGCTTAACCAACTGAGCCACCCAGGCGCCATGTTGATTCTTTAGTCGTTCCCGAATGGGAACTTTATGCCCTCGGAAGGCAAGGGCTGCAAACTATGCACCTATCCCTACTCCCCAAAGCCTTCCCCCCTTCCCCGGCAAAAAAAAAAAAAAAAAAACAGGACAAAATTAAAACATTATGACTGTTGATTACGTGTCTGATTCCATTCGGAGGCTGAGTTCCTACAACAGTAACTGCACCGTAAATGATCTCATGTGCTGGGCACCATGCCGAGAACTCCACAAACACTATCTCGTGTAGGGAAATGCTAAGAACCCATTCTACAAATGGGGAAAACAGGTTCAACGCAGAGCAGGGACTTGCCCAAGGTCATTTGGATAGGGCAATGGCCTCGCTGAAGCCGGAGCCCGCGCCAGTGTGCGTCTGTCCCTGGAGTCAGGCTGGCAGGTCATAACAAGGCCCTCCTTCCTGGGCTGTTGGGTTTTGAGGCACGAAATCAGCCAGCGGCGGGGCCCACGCGCAGCGCTTAGTTTTATCTGCGTAGCGAAGGAAACCTAGTCCAGTCAGAGTCGAGTGAGGGGGTGGCCCCTACCCCCGCCGCAGTGGGGGGGGGGCTCCCAAGGCCGCTCACAGCCCCGCGGCCACTCGTCTCCAGATCGGGCCTCCGCTGAGCGCCGGCATACCTGGGTCCTTTCCGCGGTGCTCGCCCTCCCGCCCCCTTGCCAGTGAGGGTCCCGCGCATCCCCTCATCTGCCGCTACCTTCTTGTGATAGAGCCGGGCCGGAGCCGACAGTTCCCGGGCAGGCAGGCGGGGGCTCCGCAGCAGCAGGGCCGACGCCGCCCGCCTCAAACGAGCTCCACCAGCCGCCGCCATCTTCCGGGCTTGCGTCTGCGCAGGCCGAGCGCGAGCCGGAAGGGAGGAACGCGCCCGCGAGTCGGCTCTCGGCTTGGAGCGCGGACCCTTTTACGTCACCGCGACTTCGCGCCTGCGCCCTTCCCCATCGTGCGCGTGTCTGCCTTTGGTCCTGTCTTTACCACGCCCCTCCGGGGTGGGCGGGGCGCTGAACTAAAAGACTGAAGTTGGAGGGTTTGTTCGGAGTGCAGGGTTTGGATCTGAGGGGGCCTCGGGCGGGAGTCGGGGCCCAAGTTTGCGTTCACAAAGCCCACCGCCGGAATGCGGCATAGTGGATCAACCAGTCTACTTTTCTCAATCCGATTTTGCAGCTTAGCAAGTTGAGGGTCAGAGAGGTTTAGTAACTTGTCCAAGTCTGTCCCAGACAGACTGATTTGGGATTTAAGCAAGGAAATCCTGAGTTAGAATCCGGATTCTGCTCCTTCCTGGCTGTGTGGCCCTAGGCGAATGACATCATCTCTTTAAGCCTTGATCCTCGCTTTTGTACTAATTCAAGGACAATTCATTCATTGAGCAAGTGTCATGTGTCAAGGCGCTATACTAGGCTTTGGGGGGTCCAACAGAAAGATAAACACTAATTCCTTACATAATTAACCTTGCTAATGAGGGAAAAAGGCAACAAATAAACAATATTTTCCTACCTCAAAAATGGGAGCTTAACTGAGGAAACGAACAGGCCATACCCCGATTTTTTTTTAAAGTATGTATGTATACGTCTGCATGTATTTCTTTTCATAAAGCAGCAAACTAACATTTACATGACAATGGCTGGAAATGAAGAGTTTCTAAATAAACGCTTAGTAATGGAATTTATTAATATTGGTTCGCAGAATATGATTTTATAAAAAGCAGAAAACACCTGTATTTAACGCTTCCTTGGGCACCAGGTATTACATAAAGGGAGGGAATCTCTTTGGGAAATAGGTTTTTCTCGGGAATGGTGCAATCGATCATTCCCCGGGGACTTGGAGTTTTCTGTGCGTTTGAGGCTCAGTTGCTGGGGAGACTGAACCACGCGCCAGGTTGTGTTAGGCGGTAAGGAGGGCATTTATTCCGATTCCTTTGACCTTCTCAAGATGGCGCCAAACCCTTCACTTCAATCATCACTCCCTGACTTCCTCTACGGCCTCCACTTCCTGTGCAAAGACCCAACATCTGTCCGAAGTTGCGACGGAACACATGCCGTGTCGGGGAGTTCTTATTCTGAGAGAACTTTTACACCTATGTGAGAGCAATACGAAGTTTCATACATTGCGAGATTTTCCCGTCATTCGAGGCTCGCAGTTTCTCTTTCGGTAGCAGGGAGAGCGGGGTTTGATCAGGCGAACGCCGCGGGCAGCTGCTACTTCAGCGGGTCTTCGGCGGCCGCGAGAAGACCCGAGAGTCACTGGAAGCGCAAGATGGCGACGGCGGCCGCAACATCGACTTCAGAAGCGGAGGCTGAGCCCAAGGCCGGGCCCACCGCAGAGGGCGAGGAGGATGACGTTAAGACGGCTAGGACGAGGAGGAAGGTGTTATCGCGGACCGTGGCCGCTGCGACGTACAAGGCCGTGGAGCCGGGGTGGGACCAGCCGGAGGAAGGTGCGAGTGAGAGCGATGGGGACGAGGAGTACGCCATGGCTTCCTCCGCGGAGAGCTCCCCCGGGGAATACGAATGGGAGTATGACGAAGAGGAGGAGAAGAACCAGCTGGAAATCGAGCGGCTGGAGGAGCAGGTGCGTCCGGGGCTGGGCGGCGGGCTCTTTCTCTCAGGTTCCCAGGCCCCGGCCCTTCTCCCCGGTCTCCGGCGATAATAAAGCCGCCAAGGCCGCAAACCCGCTATTAATCACCACAGCTCCCGTCACTTGAGCGTTACCGCTTGCCGGGTGATTTGCAAGCGTTATCCCATTGAACGCCCGCAGCGACCCGGTGAAGGAAGTAGAGTATTCCCCGTTTTGCGGGAGGAAATTGAGGCTCCTCGTGGAGGGAATTCTGTAACTGAAGATTACACTTCTGCAAGTGGCGAACCAGGCCTTGAACTCTGAAACGACTCCAGAGCTCCCGTTCTTAACCACACCGTTAAACTGTGGTCAGCAATAGCAGTAAAATTGTACTCGTGAGAGAGAGGGTTTTTTTTTTTTTTCCTTTTCAGTAGCGATGCCCACAATGATGAACTACGGTGTGATAGACAAAGCAATGACGATGATGATAGAAATGGGACGGTAGAAATTCAGCGTCTGGAGGCTAAGGCCCCAGTTGTAGCTAGTCCATGCTTGTGTGAGCTTAGGCAAATTTCTTATCTTCTCTGAGCCTCCGCTTTCTCACCTGTAAATTGGGAGCAACAATTTCTGCATCATGTGGTTGTCGTAACAGTAATTAATAGCCCAGTGCCTGGCATGTCTTGATACCGTGATTTCTAATTTGTAACTCCTGTGTAACCCAGGGTCTCAGCATTAGGATAATTTGAGAGAAGGTTAATAAAGGGACTACTGTGTTTATTGAAGTGTGGTCGGAGAGATCAGGAGATGCAGTACCTCAGGGCTAGTGACAGCAGGACATTGTGTCCACCTTTAGGCCCAAAGAGATGAGGGGAGAAAACCGACCAGTTTCTGAATAGTTGTGTGGAGAGGGCACCTGAGAGCAGGTGAGACCTTTAGTCAGGGAGTGCAGCCCAAGCTTCCCATCAGGGATTGGGGTGGGGGAGGAATACCCTGATTTCTCTTCTTCTCTCCAGACTTCTTCTGGTGCCCTTAGTGAGGCAAATCCTGTTGGAAGCAAGAGAGCCAGAGACCCCCACGGATGTGGCCCACACAGGAGGGCACAGAACAGGGAGAAGAGGGGGAAGTAGAATTGGGAGGGCAGGGTACCTGGATGGTTCAGTCGGTTAAGTGTCTGCCTTTTGCTCAGGTCATGATCCCAGAGTCCTGGGATGGAGTCCTGCCTTGGGTTCCCTGCTCAGCAGGGAGCCTCCTCCCTCTATCCCTCCTCCATGAGCTCTCTCTCTCTCTCACTGTCTTGCAAAGATAAATAAAATCTTAAAAAAAAAAAAAAGAATTGGAAGGGCAAACAGAAATTGAGCACATTCTCGTTTTAGCGATGAGGAAACAGGCTCAGAACAGATGATGAAATAATTTGCTCAGAGTTGCTCAGGTCTGTGGACCAAAAGCCACACTGATATGAAATCACTTAGTGATGTGAAGTTGTTAACCTGCATTACTCACTTAACATTGCTGGATGTGAGATTCCTTATAATGTCATCTTTAGCAGTGATATTTTTGTTGTGAAATAGTGATGATATCCATCGGTATCGTTTGTTTCATTTGTCATCACATTTGAATGTCAAAGGAGCCCAGTTGGGGTAGGGAAGTGGTTACCTTTCCTGTTTTTTAGAAGTAAGTACGCCAGTGTTCACTCAGTGTTTTATTCATTCAGAAAATGCAGTGTAATAATAGGGTGCCAGGCAGACTATGTCCCTGTCCGGATGGAAATCTGTGCTTCTGACTTCTAGCCTTGGGCTTCTCCACGAGCCATTAGCTCACTCTTCGGTGAGTCAGGGGAAATAAGGATTAGCTGTTTGAGCGGAAGGGGAAGCTTGGAAGCAGAAAGATTAAGGCCTTGGTGAGGGTAACCAGCTAGTGAGAGAGCAGGATGGGTCGGAGCAGAGGTCTCCTGGCTACTGGTGTTCTGCAGTTGCCTGCCCTGCCTCAGGTCACAGAAGGTGGTTTGGAGCTCAGACAATGATGTAAACTGAAGAGCCTCTGGCTTTATCAAGCTCTTTGTCATGGGGTCTAGAGATTGATTTTTTCAATTTTTCCAAACCTCCCTCCTACCTCATCCTGATCCCATAGCCTAGTTCCTGCTGAAACTGCTCTTATGGTGGAGTGTAATGTTGGAAAACTTTTAGACAGGCCTGTGAAAAACTCAACCTTGTCATATTTGCAAATTCCAGTTCTCTGAGTGTATTTTATGGAAGCTTCAAGTTAGTTGCGGTATCTGTCCATGTAACAAAAGCAAAGATTTCCCGTTATTCGTGTTTGTGTCCTGAAACGAAAAGTGGCACATCATGGTTATTCCAGCTCTCTGAGCCTGCCCTGTCCTAGGTGGTTGAAAGTAGGGTTGTAACAGTGCCTCCCTCACAGGGCTGTTGCGGAGCTTAAGTGACCTGCTGCTTACAAAGCTCCTGGCAAATTTGACACATAGTAGGTGCTATGCCGTGGCCCGCTCTGTACTTTCCCCCAGCCTTTCCGTGATTGCAGGGATGGTGTCTTTTGGACCAGGCCTCTTGTTGTTTCTTCACCACCGCTCCGGGTCTAGGTTGTGCTGTTAGGGGTCAGGAAATCAACACATCATTTTGTGTGTTGGCTAAGCCGCCTCTTTCTTTAAATCTTCCTTTGTTGTTATTGATGTTCTGAGACCAGAATAGACCAGTATATGTGCTCACTTGTTGGTGCTAAGCGAACTCTGTTGAAATGTCTCTTAAATGCATCTCTGTGCATTTAATACACATGCCTTTGGAGCACCTCTTCTTATATAGTGTCTTTATTATTTGGGCCTTCTTAGAAATCAGAAATTTAGACCAAAAGCCATCCTGGGAGGCAGTTTCTCTACTTCATTGATTTTTATACCTTTTTATTCTGATCTACAGATGGTATTCATGTAAGGGGCACTTGTATAGACATCAGTACACTAACAGGACTGTCCCACCCCACTTCATGCTCCAAAACCACATTCAGACCCAGGTGAGTTGAGAGCAGTGGGTGACAGGGAGAGCCTCTGCCTCTTCTTTAAGAAAGTACATTTTGGGCAAACTTCACTT